TATATATCTTTAATTACCGATAACCAAAATTATGAAAAGTTGATATTTTGAAAATAGATATCGTGACGAATCTAACAAGTTCTTACATGAATATATTTTTCATTATGTATAAAGGATAAAATACGATCAAAGGGGAGTGTGTGAATAGTGCTAAAGTCAAAACGTGTCAACTAAAAAAAAACGGAGGTAGTATTACATTAATAATGCATATTATTCCCAATAAAACTATACAATCTAGTGACTATATGACTAAAGACTTATTTATAAATGCCTTTTTAATAAACATCAAAACATTAATCAAACAACAAACTAAAATTTACAGTAAAACTATTGGCACAACTTACATGTAAATATATAAATTACAAATTAAATAATATATATATATATATATATATATATATATATATATATATATATATATATATATCATCTTTATATCCAATAAAATAATTTCAATGGAAATAAATACTACTTAGATCATTAAAGGCAATAACAATCAATAATTAGGCAACACTAACCTATATTATTAGTAGTACATTTTTTGTTTATGGATTGATGCTCTACATGATATCGTCGCTTTTTGTTATTATATAAAAATGTGTTTGAAAGCTATCCAATAATTCTAGTTTGATCCTTGTTTTTTTATTGCCTTAAAATTTTATTTGTACATGATACCCAAAAAAAAAAAAAAAAAAAAAAAAAAACACAAGAATATGTCACTTGTCACTATGTCTGAAGTGTTTTTTAAAATGCAGCTTACTTATGAATGTCGAATGTGATAAAATTATTATCTCAATAAAGTGTTTCAGCAAAAGATAATAACTTTTTTGTATTTACTAAAATATTAACTTTTTTTGAATAATGTAAAAACAAAAAATTGATTGATATTTTACATTTCCAAATTAGACATATAATATAGTTGTCGAACACAACATTTATTTTATGGTCATATCTAATACTCCATTAGTCTAATAAACAATAAAAAGAAATTTGAAAAAAATAAATTAAAGTGATGTTTTAAAGTAATTTATTTAATATAAATTACTTCGATATGAATCAATTTTATGATTACTTTTTCAGTAAAACTCAATAATACTCGTTTAAAAGATAATTAAAATAGAGTTGGAAAATTATTTTAGGTAAATATGCATGGAAAATTTTAGAACACAATAAAAAGGAATACATTTTATATAGAGAGGATATATAAATTTGGAATAATATTATTATAGTTTTATTATAAAAATATTCTAAAAATAAAATATTTTTTTGCTAAAAGGAGAGGGGGAGTTTTGGAGGGAAAAAATAACACCAGGATGTGACACATGTCACTCCCGGTGTCTGTTTTAGTATTAAGTTATTTATTTGATTGGAGTTTTAAGTAGAAGAGAGAAATTAAATGATAGTATATAAAGTTACCAAATATAGAAGCAATGCATGCATTTAAAAATAACACCTATAAAAGAAAAGTGATGTATTTATACAAAAATAGAGGAAGTATATCATTAAAAATATGTATAAGAGCTTGATCTAATGAAAATATACATAGACTAATCGAAAAATATTTTATATGGCAATATTTATTTTTTCGATAAAAAGTAGTTAAAGTAAGAATATAAATAATACAAAAGTCAAAGTGTTGCAATTATTATAAAGGTAGTAATATTTAAGGGTGTTGATATTGCTAAGGCAAAAAAAACCACTTTCAAGGCAAATTATCTACCCGATACCTGTAATATTTAATAATCTAAATATGTCAAACTTATTTATTTAATAAAATAATTTGTAATATTTTGTTGCCTATAATATTAGTATCCCAATATCTTTTATTTTATTTTTGGGTAGTCTCATTTATTGGGTTCGTTTATATATGTATATATTTTGGTACAGATATGCAAACTTCTTATTTGTTCCCGTTCATTGTTTGCACTACATACCACTACTACATGCATGCACATATGCTTTATGTTTATTATTGCATTCTAATAAACAATATAAGGAGAATCAAAATATAATCAAAAGTTGAATTAATGATTGTAATGGATATGAACCAAAACTTCCAGTAGCTACGAATGTGGTCCAGCATTTATATAAATAAAAAAAAATTAAAAAACAAAAATTGCATTGAATCATTCGATCAACTGAAAAAAAAAAAAAAAGAAAAATAATAATAATAATAATAATAAACCTCAAATATTACATAGCAAAGGTTTAAAAATAGCAGACGATAAACATAGCTAGTCAAGCAGTCATAATTCTCTGGAGAAATATAGTAGTTAGTCAAATTGCTTGTAAGTAAAAAAAAAGCTTCATATATATCATTAAAAACTAATAAATACAAGAGTATAAAAACCACCTACATGATAAGAAATGGAGAACAATCAATCTAGCCAAATAGTAGGTACTGCATGCATGTAGTAGTGGTATGTAGTGCAGACAATGAACGGGAACAAATAAGAATTTTGCATATCTTTACCAAAATATATACCTATATTAACGAACCCAATAAATAAGACTACCCAAAAATAAAATAAAAAGTATTGGGATACTAATATTATAGACAACAAAATATTAGAAATTATATTATTAAATTTATAAGTTTGACGTATTTAGATTCTCAAATATTACGGATATTGGGTAGATAATTTGCCTTGAAAGTGGCTTTTTTGCCTTGACAATATGAGCGCCCATATTTAATCACCAGCAAACTCACTTATACAATACTCCGTAGTTTATTCCTCTATTCAATTTATCATTCTAAAATTAAGTGTCGGACAAATTGAAGCATTTAGATTGAAAAAAAAAAAAAAAAGGGAGTATCATTTTAACGATTTAGCTGATAGGGCCCATTCAATGCTGAAGCATGATCACTTGCCAAGCATCAAATATGCTTTTTTATGCGATGTGTGAGTGAAAGGCTGGAAGGGCGCCAACATGTGATACACAAAAAGATAAATGCAAATATGCAATGGTTAAAACTTTGAAGACAAGCTAAGATTGATTAAAGAAATTCGACTGGTAAAGTGAGTGAAAGTAAAAATTAATGTAAAATCTCACTCAATGAATTGGATTCGTAACCTCTCATGTATAATATCATAAGCTTTACGCACCTACCTTTTGAAAATTTGAAGTACTCACTCAATTCCTCTATAGAATTTTTTTTTTTTTTTTTTTTTTTGGGTCCCATTTAGTTTTTTATGGTCTTCAAGACATGTCTTAAAATGTGTATGGCCTTGCTTGGTAATGAGTTTTTTTGAAAAGCTAAAGCTTATTTAATACTATTAGAGGTTTGACCATTTTAAAAAGCTAATTTTGGTATTTGGTAAATAGCTTATTAAAAGGGCTTTTTGGGGCCAAAAAACTCTTTTAGGAAAAGCTCATTACCAATCAAGGCCATACACATTACTGCAATTTTTCTTGTTCATTCTTGTTTCTTTCGATAGGAAGAAACAGCAAAAAAGGTGCTTCACAAGGTTTTGATAACCCAAATTTTTGTACTTATTTGATTTTTTTCTTTTAATTTTAATATTTAAGGCTGAACCTCATTCTGCTCCTTTGTCTTTTTGAAGGGAAAAATTGTTTCTAGGCAAACCAAGACTATAGAAGGTAGGGAAACTAGTAAGAATTGTAATGTATTTGTATCATTTGTTCAATTTTGTGTTTTAAGATATAATATAGTTTATCAATTTGTGCATCATGCAGGTTGTTGTGAATTCTGAGATGATTTGGCGAATTCAAATGAAGGTTGGAACAAAATTTAAAATAAGAGAAGATTAATTATAAGTAGAATGAGGAGATGAATTTTGAAGTATAGTTCTATGTAATCTATGGATATTATTAGCGTGAATGTTAATCAAATTATATGGATGAATTGTGTATTTGATTGGATTGAATAATTTAATTTCTTTTTAAATCAAAATGATTGTTTTTTTATAATTAGACCAAAAAGACTGTCTATCTTAAATAGGCGGTCTCAGTTTTATCAATCTAGATATCCCTTCTAAAAAAGAGGCTTCTTTGCCTAAGAGACTGCTTAACTAGAGACTGTTGGAATAATTTGCTTCAAATTGTTAGTGGTTAGTTAACTCCTAATGTATAGGAATATGTTTTACTAAGTATTAGTTCATGTTAGTGGAGTAATAACAGTAGTGGGTTAGTTTAGTGGGTTAATGTTAGCTTGATCAATGATCATGGGATCATGTTCTTTACTTATAGCTTAGTTATTTTACACTATATATATGTTGTTATGTAGTATGTTTTTCAATGGATTGAAGATAAGTTTTAATGTTCTTTCCCCTCTCTCGTCACTAATTTATAATTTCAACAGAGACTGCCTTACTCTTTGGCCTATTTAGACGGGTGACTTTGGTCATTTTTATTGTAGTCAAATTGGCCTAGTGGAAGTTAGGATGTCGGATAATGGATGGCTATGTACGTACCACAGGGAGATTCCTCAGTTCAACGTCATTTAAAATTGTGTTTGCCATTTGTATAAGTGTAACCAAAGAGATGGAGATAGAGAAGTTAATCCAGAGCACATAGAGGCAAATACGCTCAAATTGCCAAAAGTTATAAAATAGAAAACGTTAATAAAGCAATTATGATTGATGATCTTGTATTACAGATTAAGGAGGCGTTTGGTTCGGAAATGGAAATGGAGTGGAAAGGAATCAAATAAGAGGGGGAAAAGGAATCATTTAGATATTACCTTTTCATTTGTTTGGATTAACCATGAAAAGGGTATTTGTTAAGAAGAGGATAAGAGTATTTGTTATTCCAAGTTTTTGAGAGGTAACAAATGAGGGCTAACCATTACCCTTAGGTAATGGTAATTGTTACCATGCTTTTGAACCAAACACACGATACCGGTGTCGATTTAATCGAATCTGTTTCCAATCCAAAAGATACACAAACCAAACACCCCCTAAATAGATGGTAAAGGCAACAAATTAAATTACACAGCTGTGTCATAGTGGATATGGAGTACGTATATATCAATTTCAATAATAATGTGAAAGAGGTTTCAACAATAAGATGAATACATATCTTTTTAGGAAATACACACGTACATAGTAGATGCCGCGTGATAACTACTATAACTACTATAAGTGATATATTAAGAGAAATTAAAGCTTCATTTTATTTCTCATGGGAAAGAAATAAGCATGCTTATTTGACAAGATTGTATGCATAAAAAACGTTAAATAAGAAACTAATTTTGACACACCTTTAATTGATGCAGCACACCTTCATGTAAGAGCATAGAAAACTAGTTGTACCATACCCTCACAATGTATGGGTGTGCCAAAATCATTCATATCCTATAAACATAGTATTGTAGTTATTAAATTAAGCAATCGAATATTCTAAACATTAGGACAATATGTATCCTTTCCCAAAACATGTTTAATATGCGACCTCCTGTTATGACCAATTACCTTCCATATGAAGCGCAAACCATGTCCTACGAGTATAATCAACATCAACCATAGCCAAATCTCAACAGAATATTCCAAAGCTTCTTCTACTAACACCGCCTTTTCAAGAATCTCATTTGTGAGATACCCTATCGTGTAGAAGTAAGTTGCTGCACTCGCAGTTACAGCAATCCACAAAGTAACCCTCAAAATGAACACAAAATATTTCTTGCAAGGAAGGCCGCTAATAAGGAGAAGAATGACACTTAGAGAAGATATGAGTCCAATCGTGTTGCTAACTTGTATAATGCTATAGAAATCTCCATGTTTATCATACGACATTATGGAAGTGCCTGCCTCATGACCATCATTATCTTGCCATACGCCTCCAGGAGGATTCATTCCAACTTGAAACGATAAGGTTGCAATACAAGATGCAACCACCATTAGAGCTGTGTTTTGCTCCTCCAACCATTTTTCGTCTTTGCTACGTTTCAGCACTTGTTTAGCTCGTGATACATGTTTTTCTATGAATAAATTCTTGAGCATTATATCAGCTTGTCTTAATCTTTCCTCTTCAACTTCTCTTTGTTTTTCCTCTTCAGCTTCTTCTAAGTTATCTTCATCAACTTCTTTTTTTATTTTCCCGTCTTTATCCTTAATAGGTTTCTTGCTACAACTTATAGTTTGCTCTAAAATATCCTTAATTGTCTGCCCTTTTTTGTTTACAGCATTTTTATGTATCTTGTCACCTTTTTCTAGTAGAAATTTTACCATCTGCATTGTCACCAAATACGAAATTATTTAAGAGAAGGCATACAAATGTGCAAGGGTTAGCTTAATGTTTAGTTAGTATAATATGGAACTAACTAAAGATGTTAGTGATGGAAGGACTTAATAAAACACACGTATTCCTAGTTCTATGGTAGTCATCCTTAAAATGACTATCATTATACTAATTTTTTGTTGGTTAATTTTGATCTATTTTTTAATGTCAAAATTAATTATAACTCATTTGTATAATTGTAAAAATTCATTTATTAATTTTGAAATATTTATATATTTTTTTGTTATAATTTTCCTAAATAATTTACCAAATTCAGTTTTTATTATTACTAAAATTAAAAAATAAAAAATAAATTAATTATAAAAATTTTAAAAATAAATAAAAAATAAATTTTAAAATTTAGAATAAACATTTATAATTAATTTTGACATAAAAAATAAATAAAAATCAACCAATAAAAATTTAGTATAATAGTAGTCATTTTAAGGATGACTACCATAGAATTTTCAGAAAAATAAAGTAACCCGGTGATATTCATGACAGTATAACTTAACAAAGAAAAAATTATGCTAGTATAACTCAACAAAGTAAATCGTTGTTAGGATAACTTAACAAAATAAATTCATGCTAGTATAACTTAACAAATTAAACCAAAATATGTAAAAATTTGAAGAGAATTATTAAAGTGTTACATTTGATGTTACCTCGGTTTCTTTGTAAGCCACGGCAAGGTGCAAGACAGTATTACCATCACTATCCTCGGAGTTAAGTAACTCGAGATCGTACGTAATTTCAACCAATTCTTTTAGAGTCTCTAGTTGACAATTTTTCACACACAAATGTAAGATAGTTTCACCTCTCGTAGTTCGTTCCAAAGCAGCCTGACGCTTCATCCGGAGAAACACCTTAAGCACTTTGATGTTCCCATTAACAGCCGCGACATGAAGGGGCGTCATTCCATCTTGATCGTGCACGAAACACATGTTTGGTGCCGCGCTAAGCAAGCTGCGGACAATTCCTAACGGCCGTTTCGTTAGAGTGGCCGCAATGTGTAGTGGTGTTGATCTTTTTAATTGATCAACCACCTCCGCTAGTTCCGGATTTAGCCTTAGAATTTCTTTAACGAAATCTAAGTGCCCCTTTTTAACAGCTACATGTAACGGAGATTGCATAACGACACATGATTTTTCGATGATGCATCGATCAAGAATAAATTCATCGGTTTTTAGTAATTCACCCAAGGAAGTTTTATCTCCCTTAAGTGCGGCTTCATATAGTGTTGTAGGAAAAGATTGGCTAATTTCATCACTTTGTTTTTTCCATTTTGAACTGTGGTTTATGAATTTAGAGCTGAAAACAAATTATTTTAAAGGGCTTAATGAAAATGTAATTCAACGCTTTCTATATATAGTGTATGAAAAGTTGGTTATTGGGAAGGAGTATGATACAATATATGAATACAAAATGGATAAAGGTAATAGCCAATCAACTAAGCTAGTGAAGGAAAGAATGAGAAACTTTGTAAGGTAGTGTACGGATTTTCTGCTGGCACTATTAAACCAAACTTTGTAAGAAAGTGTACAAATTATTTGCCGTAAAACTTAGTCGATGACCGGAATACGGTTAAAGTGCCCTCTTCACAAACTAAGTGGGATAAAAGGACCTTTATTGTCACGTTTGTAAACAAACCACTTAAAATGACCTTTCTGACAAATTTTCCTAATTAATAATCACGGTAGTATAATAAATGTAGTTCTACGACTAACAATATGAGTCAACTAGGTTAGTGCCATGCAATGTAATTTTCAATAATTATTCTAAAATGAACATTACATTTAATTATAAAAATTAAAAATTATTTGTATAAAATATTAATACTGCATACGAATAAATTTACCAAAATATATTTAATTCTTATTAAAAATAGATTATTGTGAAAGAGTCTATATATTAGCCAAATAGGCATTTTAAAATAATATGCATTAGACCATTAATTTTCTTACATAAAAGTATACTTCACCAACAAATTGGTATTGTACATAATAACATAATATAACAATGAGTCTAGTATAAGTCAAGTTTACTTTAACTTTATTGTAACACGGTCAATTTGAAGATAACTTTAACATTTTTTGTGGTAACTTTTAATTTGTAACAATTTTAATTATATTTTAATGTGTAATTTCAAATGGATTTTTGCTATAAAGACTAGTATGATTTATCTAATTTATTATAAGTGATTTTTAGTTGTAAAATTTATGTTAGAAAATATTTACTTTTATAATGTATAAGGATAATAATAACCTTAAATAATTTTACATTAACTTTAACTCGTCTTACAATAACTTATTAAAATTCCGTCTTAGTTGAGATTTTGTGATAATATGATATGGGTATATCATTTTGACAACTCAGCTGATGTATAGGGCCCATAGAATAATGATTACTTGATTACTTGCCATTTTGACAAGCATCTCCTATGCTTGTACGAGAATTGAGTAAATTTGTATGATAGGGTACCAACATGTGATCCCCGGCGAAAAGATAATGTAACGAAGTCAAGCTAAGAGTCATTAAAGAAAATTCGATTACTAAAGTGAGTGAAAGTAGGCAAAATCTCACTCAATGGATTGGATTCTGTTAGAGATATGATATTATCAATATCAGAAAATATATGTGATATATTTTTCGTATTGATCTTATTAGGAGAATAATATATTTAGGTTTATTTATGTTAAAGATATTATTTAGTGAATATATCTTAGGATATATGGTTATGATAGATATATTTTAGAAGATTATTTCTTATCTTATAATCTTAGATTTGGTATAAATACACCACCTGACCTATTGATGAATAATAAATAAAAAAGGTCATTCATTCTCTTTTTTACCCCAATTTGTCATATCATATCTCTAACAGATTCGTAACTTGTCATGCATATGATGTAAGCATTACTTCGTCACCTTTTGAAATACTTTGTAAAAAATAAAAAAAATAAAAAATAAAAAAATAAAAAAATCTAAATTGTCGTATACTCGATTTGGGGCAAGACAACTAGAGCGGCAGCCCAAGGCCCAAAGACCATAAAAGCCCAAACCTCACGACTTTCATTTTTGTGAGATTAAAAATAACAACTAACTTTTTGGTGTAGTAGGCCATACCGTGTGAAAGGGGTTATCCGAGTTTTTCAATTAGGGGTTACTCGAGTTTCTCGTGGTTACTTGAGGGGATCGGACAGGGATTACTCGAGGGGTTCACTCAGTCAAGGGTTACTTGAGGGGTTACTCGGTCAGGGGTTACTGGAGTTAGTCGGTCAAGGGTTACTCGAGTTACTCGGTCAAGAGTTACTCGAGTTACTCGGTTAGGAGTTATTTAAGAAGTTCGGTCAGGGGTTACTCGAGTAATTCGATCAGGGGTTACTTAAAGAGTTCGGTCAGGGGTTACTTTAGGGTTCAGTCAGGGATTACTCAGTCATGGGTTACTCGGTCAGGTTTTACTCAAGGGGGTCGGTCATGGATTACTCGAGGCGTTACTCGGTCAGGGGTTACTTGAGGGATTACTCGGTCAGGAGTAACTCAAGTATCCCCTGACCGAGTAACTTGAATAACCCCGACGATTCGAGTAACCCCTGACCGAGTAACTCGAGTAACCCCAAACCGATAAACTCAAGTAATCCCGACAACTCGAGTAACCCCTGACCTAATAACTCAAGTAACCCTGCCGCACGGTACAGCAAGCCACATACAAAAAATTTATTAAAAATAATAATAGTAACCCTTAGAATATTTGCATCATAACAAATTAAAATTATTGCACTATTCATACATTAACGATTGCAATATTCATACATTGATATAAGTAATCTTGTATGATGCACAAATTTAAATTTTTTTTTCTCAAATCATATAAGTATACACTTTACGTTCATTCAATAAAAATAATAATAATAAAAAAAAAAGTATGCACTTTATGTTTCTTTAATTTTACATTTCTATAAGATTACCAAGTTTTAAGACAATTTTTCTATGAAACTGTGAATCAAATTGTGAATCAATTTTTTTTTTTTTTAAAAAAAATAAATAAATAAAAGTGTATATGAAGCAAATCCAACAGCAAAATAGTAATGATCATTTGAAAGGTTAAAGGAGTGGTAAAACAAGGAGTTAGTGTAAGTGGGATATTGTTAATTTGAAAGGTTAAAGGAGTGGTAAAACAAATACAAGTAATTAATTTTACAGATTGTTTGGGTGTTCTTATTATTCATCAATAATATAAGTGGGATATTGTTAGATTTTTTTTTTTTTTTTTTTTTTATTTATTTTTTTTTTTTTTTTTTACATGAACTTAATATAAACCGAATAAGGATTACAAGCGACAATTTACTCAGAGGAGCACTACTAGCTCCAATGTTACATAGAGTAGATATAAATTAAACTTTCTTACAAGATAATGCCGGCTTGAAAACCAAAGTATTTGCCTTCGAACATGATGTAAGAGAAACCAAAATTTACCTTTAATTTGTTATTAGTTTCATGCTGTTGTTTGAATTGGTTTCAAAATCTCATTATGTAATGCAGGTCTTATGAAATTTGTCACGACATGCATTTGAAATATATGAAAAAAATAATAATAATAATAATAATAATAATTTTACTCTTGTATAATTAGACATGCATATAATTTTGAATGTGTATTGAGAATTCGTCACAATATGCATTCGTAATATCAATTTTTTTTTATTATTTTTACTCTTATATAATTTTAAATGTGTATTGGGAATTCGTCACGTATGCATTCGTAATATCAATTTTTTTTATTATATTTACTCTTGTATAATTAAAGACATATATATAAGTTAGATTGTGTATTGGGATGCGTAAATCCCTCATATAATAAGAGTATTACATTATTACTTCATACTTCGTAACAAAGTTACATTTAAAATAATGCAGTAGCTAGTTCCGATAAAAAAAATAAGAAGATGATCTATCATTGTAAAATGTTGGAAAAAGATTAGAGATGGCAAGTGATTATAGATCCTGTGGATCAGAAACCGTTATACTAGATTTGGATCTATTTTGAGACATAATACATGGTTAATTGGGCTTCAATGAAATTTGGGCTACACGAAACCCCGCAAATCTACTAGTTTGCTTTATTTTATACAATCACAATACAGATTTTACATAAATAGAAGACGGTAAGTTAAACTTTTATGAAAACAGGATGGTACTTACATAGTACTTGTAAATACTAAGGTGATAACATGAAAAGTACATTTTATTTTTTTATTTTTTTTATTTTTTTTGAATAATGAAATTTTTTTAATAATGAAAAGTACATTTTATTGTCAATGGGAAATACATAAGCTAGGTATTGTAGTAATCAAGTGATCGATAATCTACAAAATATTAATATTTGGATAGTACCGCGACCTTTGCACTTTTTGCAGAACTCCTCTAATCTTCCTCCTTTTTTTATAACCAATTACCTTCCAAATTAAGCGCAACCCATGTCCTAATAGTATTATTAGCATTAACCATAGCCAAATTTCAACAGAATAGTCTAAAGCATCTTCGAGTAAGCCTGTTTTGTCGAAAATATCACTTGTGAGAAACCCTATCGTGTACAAGTAAGTTGTTGCACTCGCGGTTACAGCAATCCACAATGTAACCCTCAAAACGAATACAAAGTATCGCTTGCAAGGAAGGCCTAATAAGGAGAAGGATGACACTTAGAGAAGACATTAGTCCAATTGTGTTGCTAACTTGTACAATATTGTATGAATCTTTATCTTTATCATAAGACATGATGGATGTGCCTGCCTCGTGACCCTTATTATCATCTTGCCACACGCCTCCGGGTGGATTAATTCCGACTTGGAAAGACAAGGTTGCAATACAAGATGCCACAACCATTAGAGCTGTGTTCTGCTCCTCCAACCATTTTTCGTCCTCGCTGCGTTTCAGCACCTTTTTAGCTCGTATTGCATGTTTCTTTTTAAGTAATTCCTCGATCTTTTTATCAGCTTCGCTAACCTCATCCGTTTTTTTAGTTAGCTCGAAAATATCATTTATTGTTTGGTGTTTTTTGTTCATAGCATTTTTATCTATCTTGTCACCTTTCCCTAGTAAAAATTCTACCATCTGCATCGTCACCAAATACAAAATTGAGAAAATACGTATTGCATGCTAGAACTCGTAAAATAAATAAATAAATAAATAAAAAAAAAAAACAAATATATGTATACGTTTCACTTAACAATAATTGGTATGAAAATAATGCAAAAGTCAAAATTATGCAATTATTTAGATACGGAGGGAGTAGGTCCATAATTCCACCTTTTGTGTTAATGCATGAGTGTACAATTTTTGTTAGTTGATATCTAATAACATGGTCATCATTCATGATCTTGTTTAATTTTGTTTACTATGTACATAATTTCAAAATATCAATTTTTTTTTTTTAAATAATTATTACAGATATGGAGTTAAAGATCGATGTTAATGATCAAAAGGTATGTATTGGACGGAATTTAAAATGTAACATAACACAGGAAAACCTTAATATGTAAAAATTTAAAGAGAAATGAAGTGTTAGATTTGATGTCACGTACCTCGACTTCTTTGTAAGCCACAGCAAGGTGCAAGACAGTATTGCCATCACTATCCTGGGAGTTAAGTAACTCAAGATCGTATGTACTTTCAACCAATGCTTTCAGGGTGTCTAGGTGACAATTTTTCACGCACAAATGTAAAATCGTTTCACCTCTCGCAGTTCGTTCCAAAGCAGCCTGACGCTTCTTCTTGAGAAACACTTCAAGCACTTGGGTGTTCCCATTTACAGCCGCAACATGAAGGGGCGTCATTCCATCTTGATCGTGCACGAAACACATGTTAGGTGCCTCTTCGAGCAAGATTTTGATGATGTGTTCATGACCGTGCTCGGCTGGCTCCGCTAGTCCCGCCCCCTCTTTCCTTGCTGCTGCAATGTGTAGTGGTGATGATCTTTTTAATTGATCAACCACCTCGGCCAGTTCCGGCTTTAGCCTTAGAATTTCTTTAACGAAATTAAAGTGCTCTTTCTTAACAGCTACATGTAACGGAGATTGCATGAAGATACATGATTTTTCCATGATGCATCGATCGAGAATAAATTCATCGTTTTTTAGCAACTCACCCAAGGAAGTTATATTTCCCTTGAGTGCGGCTTCATATAGTGTTGTAGCATAAGATTGGCTTATTTCATCACTTTGTTTTTCCATTTTGAATTGCGTGGTTTATGAATTTAGAAACAAATTGGCTTAGAATGGATACTTGTACATTTTTTAGGCTTTCTATACATAGAATTATAAAAGTTGGTTATTAGGAAAGAGTAAGATATATATCAATACAAAAAGGAAAAAGTTAACAATCAATTTATTAAGCTATGCTAGTTAAGAAAAGAATGAGAAACTTTGTAAGGTAACACTAAAAGAATATTATTAGACTTGGGACCTACAACTGTACCACACTTGATAGTGCCGTTTTTTTTTTTTTTATTTTAAAAAAAAAAAAAAAAAAAAAAAAAAAAAAAAAAAAAAAAAAAAAAAAAAATTATAAAATCGGATACTACCTATGTTAGGATATAGAGCACGATTTTGATTTAACAGTTAGGTAATACTACATTCGTTTCTTTTTATTTGTAGCAAAGGGGTATTTTATATGAGACATAAAATATTTAATCTGTTGCAAATAAAAAGAAACAGAGGTAATATAACAAATGCAACTCTAAAACTAATAATTAAAAACTAAAATAAATACTCTATATAATTACAAAAATTAGATTAGTTTAGTGAAATCTTGATATAATAATTCTAGTAAATCATTAATTAAAATGTAATTGATATATAATATTTTTAGTATTAACTCTCACTTAGGCCATGTTCACTTTACCTTTAAAAAATAATATTCAGTAAAAATAATAATTTCAGTTCAGTAAAAATAATTTCATTTCAGCAAAAAAACATTATCTTTAAAGAAGAAGTTTAATAGAAAATCAGTAAAAATAATTTCAGTTCAGTAAAAATAATTTCAGCAAATTAATTTTAGTTCAGTCAATATAATTTATGTTCTGCAAAATTATTTCAGTCCAGTAAAAATAATTTCAATTTAGCATAAATAAGGTGAAGTGAAAGGTTCTAAATAAATCCATTAATTTCAATGGTACATACACTAGCTAATGCACAGTTTTGATATCTATTATAGTATATACTTGTATATATATTCTATTAGTAAAAGTTATATTAAGTTGATATTATTAAATCATAATATATGACTAAGCCAATAACATGATATAATCTTCTTTTAAATTACTTTTTCAATATAAACAACATAATATAGTCTTATTGGGTCCTCTTTAATATGTTTGTTTCAATGCAAGAGTATTTTAGGAATATTAAATTGTTACATTTTTTACTAATAATGTTTATCAACGATATTTATAGTGAAAATAATGCATTAACAAATGTGTACCATCAAAGTAGAAAGAACTTATATGGATGGAGAGGGTAACATTTATTTTAATTGTATACATCCAGTATAATAAAAAAATTATCAAAGTTATTATATGAAAAATGAAAAAACTACATTGATAATTAAATATTTATTTTGGAACGAAATACAAAAGGAGTGATATAACTTTGTACAGAGTTTAATATAGTTCCTCTGCACCAATAATTTAATTGACACATTTTATTTTTGACAATACTCTTAAACTCTATTTTGAATAACATTTGTGATTTATAGATTTAATAAAATAAAATAAAATAAAATAAAATAAAAAAAAGAAGTCATGTGGGATCTTGTATGTTAGATCCGGTTTAATGTGTATTGAATTAAAATTAAATTTTTAGTATTTTTTATAATAGTATAAATAAATATATTTCTATTGAATCTTAGCAGTGACAAACGTGATAAATTGTTAAACTAGCTCAAGAAAAAAAATTTGGAGAAAACAGCTTAAGCTTTGTATTGATAATTACCACAATATATGTACATGCACAATACAAAAGAGACCTAACTTGCCTAAAACTCTTAACAAGATAAACTTGACAAATATACAATATTAACATATATAGCAACCAACTTCTAATGTAAATAATTATGTCAACTAATTTAGAATGGATAATGTAGGAAGTATCATTTTGACAACTAGTAAGTTGTTAGGGCCTATTAAATGGTACAGTGATGCTAATGAGTGATTGCTTGATTACTTAATTGTAAATAGACGTGGTTATTGGATAGGATAGCTTAATGACAATGCGGTCAGAATCAAGGTTAAAGGTTCCTTAACAGACAAGATCCTTATTGAGTAGGGTCAATATAAGGCCAAAATATTTGCCAGATTTAATAGACTAAGAAAATAGATAATGTAAACATATTACACAAATATTTTCATTTTCTTCTTATATACTTAATAATGTGTTTGTTCTATATTCATTATTGTAATTATTAATTAGTTTATTGGTCCATCCATTATTGACTTGATATTGGCCAACCTGTACCTAGGGATGTCAAGGGGATGGAGCAGGGTGGATGTTGGCTTTCCCATCCCCATCCCCGCCTAACATTTTCATCCCCATTCAAACCCCCATCCCCGCGGCGGGTCCAAAATTCATCCCTATCCTCGCCCCGGCGGGTACTATCCCAAAACCATCCCCGTCCACCATCCACTTGAATATCCATCCCCACCTAAGACCCGCCTAATTCCCACCTTCCAAATACAACTATACTACATAATAATGATTAAAAAAATAATCATTATTAAGTTATACATTTTTTTTTATATATATATAATATAAGTCTATTACAAAGTATTATACTTTAACTATATTATTTTACTTAATTTTTATATAAAATGGTATAAAAATATACATTTTTATGTAATAATATATATGGATGTGGGTATTGGGCGGGTGGGCGGCGTGGGTATAAAGTGAGGAACTGAGGATAGGGCGGATACAACCTAAAATTCACTCCCGCCCCATCACCCATGACGGGTATAGTTTTTATCCCCATCCCCGCTCCACCACACGCAAACTGGGATCTATCCCCGACCCACTAGGGCGAGGATGGGGGTGGGTAACCTACTTAATCCGCCCCAGTGACATTCCTACCGACTTGCCCAATACCAGGTCTACTTGCCAAGCATCTTCTATGCTTCTATGTGAAGTGTGAGTAAAAGGGTACTTGCCAAGCATCTTCTATGCTTCTATGTGAAGTGTGAGTAAAAGGGTGGAAGAGCGCTAACACGTGCTCACAAAAAGATAATGTTATGATGACAACCTAGGATTGATTAAAGAAAATTCGATCAGCAAAAGGAGAGAAAGTAGGCAAATCAATATACTGTTAATTCTCACTCAATGAATTGGATTCGTCCAGCATAATGCTTAGCGCACTTTCGAATTAAACTACCATTTGTATAAATTACACTTTCTAAATGGGTGTCAAAGTTCTTTTGCTTTGTTCCACTATAATATCCCCATATTTCCATTTTATAAAAATTAATAAACAAATTAAAACACATTAAGGAGGCGTTTGGTATTGTAATTTTAGATGTAGGAAACGGATTCAATTAAGTGTTTTCATTTCTAGTTGTTTGATATGGGTTAAAAGTAACAAATAACGTTTCCAGAGGATAACATAATTCCCCTCTAGTAGAAACAAAATACGTTTCCTTACTCAATCATAATTTTCTCAAATTGTTTCCATTCCACTAGGATACTAAACATATAGTAAAGGTAACATTTATCATTACCCTTTCCCTTACTTGTTTGAATTCTTTCCGTTTCATTTACAATGTTTATACCAAACATCCCCTAAGTCACTAAAATTAATAGACACATTAATGATAAACCTCTTTCCTTCTCCTCTAAACCCTAATATAGCTTCCCTTGTTGAAATTTAAAGGGACTTGCATCAAATTTTAAACCTATAAAAAGTCTCATTTTTTCGTTTCTTTAAAGTTATTTTTTTAGATAGGAATGTCGCTTCCTCCTCTTGAAAAGAATTTGCCTCCTTCAAAAATAAAGGATATCCGATCTCTTTCAAATTACAAGGTTTATCTTGATTTCCTTTAAAAGATTGGTTTTTTTTATCTCCTTTGAAAGACAAGGTGATCTCGATTTACATTTGATATGTAATCTCAAGTTATGCCGGGTTGTGATTGATGTCCATTGCTCAAATTAATGTTACAATGTTATCACAAGATTTTTTTTCCACACAAAAATACGAAACAACGATGGACACATTCATAATGTTGTATGAGACAATGAATCAAGAAATTTTTGTCGATTATTATATCTATGTATTTGTCAATTACAGATAACGTATGAGTTTAGTTAAGGAAAATTAGTGTCTTTTAAAATTTATTGCAAAATAATAATAATAATAATAATAATAATAATAATAATAATAATAATAATAATAATAATAATAATAATAATGTTTTCAAAAATAAAAATAATAATAATAGTGTAAGCAAGCGTAGGGGTAAGTATCCAAACCTATTGGCTAGGGGTGTCATTTCGGTAAACAGTTCGAGTTTGGGTTGGGTTTATTAGTTTCGGGTTATAACGGGTTGGTTTATAACGAGTTGAAATGATTAGCGGGTCGGTTTGGGTCGGTTTTGAAAATCATCTGGTCAGTTCGGTTTGGTATTTTTTTTATTGCGGTTTCTATTCGGGTCGGGTTGCAGTTGGTTCGGGTCATAATCAGTTTGGGTAGAACTGGGTCGGTTTGAAAATGGGTTTAGCCAGTTTAAAGTGGGTTTCGATTCAAAACAGTTTGGGTTCTAATCGGGTCGGGTTGTAATCAGTTAGGGTGTTAAATCGGGTCGGTTTGAAAATGGGTTTCGGGTCAAAACAGATTGGGTGAAATCGGGGATCCGGTCATTTTCGGTTCAGGTCATAATCGGTTTGGATTGAACTTGGTCGGTTTGAAATGGGTTTACCCAATTTGAAGCGGGTTTCAGTCCAAATCATATTGGGTTAAAATCGAGTTAGATCATTATCGAGTCGAGTTAGTCAGATAATGGATAGGAATGGGTCATGTTATAATCAAGTAAAGTCATAATTAAGTTGGGTTTATCGAGTAGTGGGTTGAAACGGATCAGATCATAAGCATATTGGGTTACGGGTTGTAAACGACTCAATCATAACGGGTTAGCGGTCGTAAACGATTCGGTCTGAACGGGTTACGGGTCGTAAACAGTTCGGTTTCAACGGGTTACGGGTTGGAAACGGTTCGGCCATAACGGGTTACTACTTATAAATGATTCGGTCACCACGGGTTACGGGTTGGACCGGTTCAGGTTTATCGGATTTTTGCCGGGTTTGAACGGTTTTCGGTTTTAAAATGGGTCGGGTTACTATCGGGTTCAGACGTAATCGGTTCGGGTTGTTTTTAGTTTCGGGTTGTAACAGTTTAGCTTGATAACGGGTCGGGTTAGTAACGGTTCGTACAAATTCGGTTCAGTTCAGTTTCGGGTTAGAAAAAATTGGGTCGGGTTGGTTTTTGGTTGTTAAAAAACGGGTTTTTAACGATTCGGTTCCTTTTCGGATCAGTTCGAAACAATCGGGTTTAACGGTTTGGGTCAGAAACTGACAGCTCTACTATTGGCTTATAATTTTGACACATAACCTTTTAGGCTTATGAAGTGACACGCTCAATTGATGATGGGTTGATCCAGACTCAATGGCCCATATTCAACCATTACAATTTTTTCCTATCACTATATTATTAGAAAACACTAGAGTTTATCATTAATATCCTTAAAGATAATTGTCGCAATATTTAAATAACATACAACACTGAAGGAAACATTAAGCAAGCAATTGGACAGCCCATTTGCATTTTAGTTTGGGTAAGAAAAGCACAAATTACAAGTAAAAGTTAAAATACAGGCATGATACTAAGAAATTGCAATGCAAGCAAAACATGATACATATAAAGCATACATAAACTAGAAGTATTTGAGAAGAAGGTGAGTCATAAATTAAATGACCACTATTATACATTGTTGCTAGAACTTGAGTTATCAGCAGCGCTTGTTAACTTTGGAAAACACATCTTGCAAAACCTTTTAAGTGACTGCCTCCTTTCCCAACCAATCAACTTGAGTATGAATCGCACAACATGTCCAAAGAGCATGATTCCTATCAACCCTACACAAGCTACGAGAGAAAACCAAGTTGAAATATACATGCCACCATTATCTGCTCCAGCATAAGTAAGAATGGTAATAGCTGAGTAGTAAGTATATGTCGTTGCAATCACAGCCATCCATAAAGCTATTCTCAAAATCAACAAGAAATGTCGCCTACATGGAAAGCCGCTTATAAGGAGAAGAATGACACTTAGTGATGATATTAGTCCTATTGTGTTGCTAATTAGTAACTGATTATACCATATCCAATAAGCTGTATTTGTATATGACAATATAGCGGTACCAGCATAGTGGGTAGAGTCGTTAGAGCCATCTTCTTGTACTATATTGGCATATTTATCATTTACTACCTTTGTCTCCTGCCAAACGCCTCCTGGAGGATTAATTCCAACTTGGAAAGCCATGGTTGCTATCAAGGATGCCACCACCATTAACGAGGTTCGTTGCTCCTCCAACCAAGTACCATCCGCTTGGTGCTTTAGTACCTCCTTTGCTGGTCTTGCCTTGGCACGCTTCAGATATTGCTCAACATTCCTATTTTCAGAATTCTTCCAATTTTGCTTTTTGCCGATAATATCTAAGGCTGTCATTTTATTTTTGTTCATAGCACTTTTGTTTAGCCCTGGGTATCCAGAAAAAAATTCTACCATCTGCATTCAACATTCATATCAATTTAATCAAATTATCTATAGTAATATATAAAGTGAAAGGGGGTTTTGGGTGATAAATTTTACTTTTTCAAAATGCCTCTCTCATCTTTATTTTTATTTTTATTATTTAATATAACTACCATCTTTTATTAAAAAAATTAAAAGCTACTTATTCTTTAAAATAAAAATATTTTTGAGGGAAGTCATATCATACTATTAGCCTCCATGAATAAGGTAGATAATAATAAAAAAAAAAAAAAAAAGGATAATCGAACCACTTAGATTTCTTATATTGCACACGCAATGTGCGTGTGTCTCCTAACTTGTTATATTTAAACCTCGAGATGAAGCATGTTTTTCTCTCTCTCATACAAGTGTTGGTACTCACTAACTCTACCTCAAAATAAACCCAGTTGAAAAGAAATGTTACACAAAACATATATTTAATCATTAATATTTTTAATTAATACTTTCCAGTGAAATTGTTTTGCTCATTAACAATCAGACAAGTGAAAATGCAGAATACTAGTGTAGTCATTTGAAAAATGATGACTACTTAAAATTGGATGGCTGTAATTAAATAATTTTTTAATTATTTTAAATGCTAAATTAATTAAAATTATTTTTAAATTTTTGAAAATTAAATATTCTTTTTTTTTTTTTTTGAGGGAATTCAATTTTTTTTTTTTTTCAAATAACTCAAGTGGTTAGAGCTTCCCTCCCGATTCCAGGTTATCCTGGGATTGATTCTCACCCCGCCCTTATGGCTCTCTAAACACCAAAAAAAAAAAAAAAATTAAAAAATTATTTAAGAAATAATTGAATTAATTTTTGTAATTAGTATTAACATTTAATTCAAAAATCATTAAATCTTAACCTTTCATATTCAAAGATTATGGTTATCAATTTTCAAACGCCAACCATAGAATCATTGAACAAATTTATTTTTTTTTCAAGAATTTTGAGTAGATAGGATTGATCATTTTGTGTAATCTGTTTAGATGCAGAAATTAAAATTCATCTTACCTCGGAATGTTTGCCAATCACTGCAAGGTGCAGGACAGTATTGCCATCATTGTCCCTAGAGTTGATCAACTGATTTCCATCATCATCTACCAGCTCTAACAAACGCTCCAAAGCCTTCAGCTGGTTATGTATGACACACAAATGTAATATAGTTTCACCGTCATTGGTCCGCCCCTGCGCTGCATAAGGGTTTGCCCGATGAAGGAGTTCAAGTGCATCAATTTGACCGCACACAGCAGCAACAAAAATAGGAGTTCTTCCCTCTTGATCGCGTGCAAAGCACATATGAGGTTTCGCACCAATTAGGGTTTCAATAATTTGCGAGTGCCCTTTTGCTGAGGCAATGTGTAGTGGTGAAGATCCCTTTAAGTTATCAATCATCTCATCTAGCTTTGGTTCTCGGCGTAAAAGTTCAACTACGAACTCAAGATGTCCCATTGCAACAGCAACATGTAATGGAGATGCTTGATGTTGCTTGATTTTCCAATGATACATCTTTCGAGGATAAGTGGATCTTCTTTAAGCAAGTCGAGTAAAAATGGTACGTCTCCTAGAAGTGCTGCATCATATAGCCAAGTTGTAACTACAGATTGACCTTTCTCTATTTGTATATCCATGCTTAAATTCTGCGGTTTATCAAAAAGAAACAACTCAAATCAAAACTAGTTCTATACGCTATATATATATATATATAACCTTGATGAAAAATTATTTCTCTTTTAGCTTTTAATTATAATATTCCACGAAGTATATGTCAGATTAAAAGTTGTTTGAAAAATAGTACTTCCTTCATTTCTTTCTAACACATTCTCAATAAATACAATGGTATAACAAAAGTTAGTTTGATTCTTTTTTGTTATTATTATTATTATTAATTGATATTGTTATTATTAGTTTTTTTTGAAAGAAAAGATAGGGCATTGTATTAATTAAGGGAAAATGTCCATTTCCGCCAAGGTTACAATCTTTGAGGAAAGGAACTAAAACGAACAATTTCATCATTCCACCCCCCTCCCCCCCACCCCTAGCATTATATTATTAGTAATCTTAAGTAGTTGGGTTTTTTTTTTTTTTTTTTGGAGGAAACAATTAAAAAATTTATTATTATTGTGGTGGTCGACGTGGTGGAGTGGGTCGTACCGGTGTCGTGATTGGTGGTGGTTGACTTGGTTGTGGTGGATGGACTAATGTTAATTAGAAAAGAAAATAGGAAAAAAAATTAGTAAGAGCAAGGATGGCTCTTTGCTTGAAATGATGGCGAATTGATCATTTTTTATGGCGGTATTTAGCATTTCACTTTTAATTTTTCAGATCAGATCACTTGATTTCACGTACAATTTCAGAGAAAATTTAATTAGCTTTTTAAATTAAATAACCTTTATTCAAACATTGTTATGCACCAATATATTCCACACAAATAATAAGTTCATAAAATAAAATGGAGTATTAGATATTTTTTTTTGAAGACAGGAGTATCAAATAATTAAGTTTATGTAATATAAAATCAAATATAATAAATAATAATTAAATAAAATAGAGGTTAATTACTTAACAGGGCAAAAAATTTCAAAGCAGATTGTATTACAAAACCATCAAAATAATACTCCGTACTTTGTAGTAAATAACTCACCGATGACGAGCAGCAAAACAACCCTAATATGTCTACTGTGTGTTTTCTTTGAAAAATGTATGTGTTTGTTTAAACGAGAAATAATGAAGTCTCATCCAATGGAGTCGCAATATATAATTGCCAATCATCAATTGAACAAATACTGTTTTTGATGCATGCTTAGCTTATACCATGATGATTAGCACAAGTGGCTAACAACTCAGCATACATTATGATTAAACAAAAGTTTGACATGATTTGACAAAAAGCCTAAGAAAATATCTACTACCTCTGTTTCATATTATTTCCAACTTTTAGGTAATATTTATGAGATATAAAATATTCAAAGGTTGCAAATAATATGAAACAGAGGTTGTAAGAAAATTCTCCAACTTTGGTTGTTGCTGGAAGCTATGCCCCTCTTAAATTAGTCGCTCTCGTTCCAACAACTTTAATCACGTGTCGATGGGTGTATTTAATGTTTTAATTCACCTATTATTTAAGCTCCTTGTATGCAACCCTATTACAAAATAATAGCTGGATCTACTTCAAATAAAAAGTGTTTATGTTAGTCTCAGATGGTTAAAAAAGCAAAACATTACTGATCAAAGTAGAATTATTTTGCAGTTATGATGTATAAAATGAAGTAAATCTTTTTTCGGTAAAATAATACATGCTAATGTATGTAAATTTAAAATAATAAGTAGTACAAATTTAAGAAATACATTGCTACTATGTACTAAGTATTATTATTACCTACATAACTATGTATTATTCAATAGATCAACTTTCTCTCTCCTATGTTCTTCCCCCTCCTTCCTCCCCACCACCGCCAAAATCACCCCACCTACCCGCCACCTGAATATACCTCATTTAGCCTAGACACTCATGCACCTAGCCTCTAACGCCCTCTCTAACCCGATGTCACTCATAGAAGCCCAAATTCATGCGGTGGCCCACCATCGCGGTGGTTGTGCGGTGCCAAGTAGCCACTACAACCTTTGATTTTCCCTCCCTTTTCACTTTCTCCCTCCTTTTTCACTTAAAGTTCACAATTCAACCTTTGTAATTTGTGGTGAAATCATCAATTATTTTGGGGGAGATTTAATGAGTGCAATTATTATTATAATTTAGGTCTTTTTTTTTTTTTTTTGTATGTGCTTGTTCTATTGGGCTTCAATGGAGGAAGGAGGTGAAGAGGTGGGGTAGGGTTTCGCTGGATGGGAGTGAATAATCTGATCAAAATTTTCATGGAAGTGGATTTATTGGGTGAGATGGTGTTGGTGAGGGTGGCAATAAGTTGGTGGTGGCGGTGAGGCGGTGTTGGTGAGGGTGGCAGTGAGCTGAGGTGGTGGTGGCGATGAAGTGGTGGTGGTGAGGGAAAAGGGGAAAAATTAAAGGATAGTGGTTTTATGAGATTACGTGACCCACACATTCAAAGTCAATGCCTGAAAATTGGGTCAATGTCCTGAAACAAGTCTAAACTGTGATCTTGCAAAACTAATTTGATTTAAGCTAAGGTGTATTCTTGCTAAAAAAAAAATTAATTATTATAAGGTGGTTTTTCACCACAAACAAACAAATAAACAAAAAAAAGGGGTTTTACAAAGGTGATTTCTGATAAATTTTCTTATATTAATGTCTATGTTTTACTTGCATAGTTTTGTAGGAAACTAGTTTAGGCCTAATCGCCAGCTAAACATGATTTTAATCTTTGTTACTGAAAAAACATATAAATGCATTACGTTAATTTTAGTCGGTTGATTCACAATCATGAGATTAAACACAATATACCCAACCCAGCCTAAACCTCAATTAGAGATCTATGCAATACTTGAGCAATTCAAATTGTTGAGTTCTATTCGAGGTGTAGGACTTGATGATATGGTATGCTGTCTTAACCTTAAAGAAACTTTGTCATCACTTGAAGCCTACACTAGTTTGGTGTAGCAAAATTCGCTAATAATGCAGTGGCTTTCATTCCACAGCACAACGATGTCCTTATGATGATCGAGATCTACAATTAAGTGTAATTGAGAAGATGAGAGTTCAAACCACAAAACCAAGCCAATATTTCCAATAAACTTTATATTACATATTACGCACTACAGTATTTACTTGGAAAACGAAAAACCAAGTATATTTGGGTGTACTTTGAGAAGAATACCAATCAAGTTGAAATCGGAGTAAATGGGATCATAAAAAATAGTTATACTACCTCCGTCACTTTTTAGTTGCAACAAAGATATTATTTGTGAGATATAAAATATTCCTTTGTTGCAACTAAAAAGTAACTGAGGTAGTAGTTTTTTTAATACTAACATTCATTAGTTTAAGGTAAACAAGTTATACAGACCATAGTTCGAAAAAATTAAGAAGAAGTACCATCTTCATAAAAACCGGCAGATTGAAATAAAAGTGATTCTAAGCAGTTCAAACCGATATAGCGGGTGATGTAGAGTTAAATTTGGGAACCAATTTGACGATCCTTGCCCTCAAAATGGGTCGTCGATTGATAAACTTGACTACGAAGAGAATTGCATGTCCGAGGAGCATCAACACCACGACGCCTAGCCAAAATAAAGTAGTATTAGCTGTTGGAGCTTCACTATAAATGGTTAAAAACAACGATTTTCCATAAGTTGCGGTTGTTGCTGTAACCGCAATCCACATGGTTATCCTCAAAATTGCCACAAAGACTCTTCCATAGGGAAGACCACTAATAAGGAGAAGTATTACACTTAACGACGAAACCAATGCTATTGTGTTCCAAATCACTAAGTGATTAAACCAAAATTGATGATAATCATCTTCTATAGAGTGACCTGCTTCATGATCCGTCTTTGGGTCTGGTGGTGATCCTGGTGGAGCATCTTGAGTATCTTGCCAAAAGCCTCCGGGGGATTGGTTGCGACCGAGAATGCCATGGTTGCTATTAGAGATGCCACCACCATTAGCGCGTTGCTTTGATTTTCTACCCAACTATGTCTGTTTTTTATCTTTAGTACATGTCTTGCCTGTAACGCTTTGCCTTGTTCTAGGTACGGTCCAATATGTTCATCATTAGGCCATTCAACTAGAAAATTACTCACATCTTTTGTACTGCTTTTTGTTTTTAGGAGTATGCGTACATCCAAAGCTGTCATCTCATTTTTGTTCATTGCGTTTACTTCGATCTTTGGGCATTTTAACAACAATTTTACCATCTGCAACCATGCCAAGTATTTATTAAGTATACAAAAATGGGTAAGTTTGTGTTAATAATCCCCGAAATTTGTTCCCAAAAAATACGATTTCATCGTACCTTACTTTGATTACCAATCACTGCAAGATGCAAGGCAGTATTCCCATCACTATCCTTAGAGTTGAGTAGTTCGTCATCAATCAAACTCAACAAAACCTCCAAAGCATCCTCCTTATTTTGCTTGATGCACAAATGTAACACAAAATCACCTCCATTGGTCCGTTCACGAACTACGTGAGGATTCGCATTATAAAGTATTTTAAGCACTTCGATGTTATTATTTACCACAGCAACATGAATCGGGGTCATCCCATCTTGATCGCGCACAAAACACATGTTAGGTCTTGCAGCGAGCAATGTTTTGATAATCTCTAAATGCCCCATTTCAGCTGCTACATGTAACGGCGACTGCATCAAGTGTCTCGATCTTTGATTGATGCATCGATTGAGGATAAGTCGATCTTCATCGAGCAACTTTATCAAGGATTGCAAGTCTCCCTCAAAAGCTGCATGATATAGCTTTGTTACAGCAAACGATTGGCTTCTTTCTATTTGTACATCCATATATCTGTAGATTAAAATAAAAAACCATTAATTATTAATTTGTAACGTTAATATATTTGCATGGTGGGTCTTGCATGGTATCTTAAAAGGTGTGCATATTACATCATTATTTTTAAAATTATGTTTATTAATTGAGTATTTTACTACTCCACTATCTTATCGACGTTACGTTATTTTCTCTGTTCCATAATTCGATTTACTCAAAAATATATATGTATACAAAATTAATTAAAGACTGAATAAGATAAGTGGTTTGATAGGTTTTTTTTTTTTTTTTTTTGTGTGTATTATGAGAGCCACAAGGCGAGTGATGAGGATCGATCCTAGAATCACCTGAAACTGAAAGGGGAACTCTAACCACTTGAGCTATTTCTCGCTCTCGCTTGATAGTTGTACGTAGCCATGTCCACTTTAATTTGACTAACATTATATTTATGTAACGTACTACATGTAGAAGAAAGAACATAACTAAATGTGATTTGTAAAATTAATTACTTCATATTAAAATTTTAAAATGGCTAGGATGTGTAAACTTAAATATGGAACAAATAATATCGTGCAATTGCTTCAAATTCGATAATGTTTTTTTTTTTTTTTTTAAATCTTAGGAGATATAAATATATGATTGTCATAGAACAAAATAAGTATCAAGAAAACTTACAAATTATGAGCAAAAAATGACCGAATTACAATCAACCCTGAAATTATTTTTGGGAAAAAATTGACTCTCTCAAAATTTGGATCGTCTAAGGCTCTTAAAGGTGTGTATGTTTTTGTTGAGCGAGTAAAACTTCCCTTAAATGATCATCTAATATGATATCGATCGAATATAAATATGGGCTGTCAACTTATCAACATTACTTTTACAAGACTTAAAATTCGCATAAATGGAGCAAATTAACGTTGCATATATTGATTGATATATCTCCAAAAAAAATCAACAAGTATATATGCCGTGAGATTGATTTGCTACAAGATAAAGAATATATATCACTATCCTTTAGCAATTTCTGGTGAAAACAATTTCTAGATATATACCATCAAACATATATTTTTATCACGTGATGATGATATGTATATATATCAACAAAATTATTTATGACAATTTTATAATTATATTAAACAGTTGTGAGGAGCCATATTTGATGGTAATTTATTACACTTTGAACTTGTTTTCTCGATATATTTTTAAAAAATACTCCATATAAAAAGTGTGTCCAAAATACTCGTGTGTGTGCTGGAGTTTCAAAACTCTAATTTTCTATACACATTTGTCCTCCTCGTCTTTTTGAAGCGGTCCAAATTTCTTCTGATGTGACTCTTCGAGCTTCTTTGAGCGCATTGTAACTGTTTCGGGGCCAAGTTTTGGTGATTGGCAATGGCGACTTGTCACCTTACCTTTTTCTTATATATGGTGGATTGGGTATCTATTCAGCGGGTGATGTTCGGCACTATGCTTTCCTTGCGTCGCGTTTGCAGTCTTCTGGTCTAGCTACGCTTCTTTCGCAATTCTAGTATTATTGTTGGTCCAGGACCGGCCTTCGATGGTGCTCTTAGTCTTTTAATAGGACTGTGGAGACTGACCTTATGCGTAACCCTAGTGGGATCGCTGCCCCCAAACTCATGAAGAAATTGGCAGATATATATTTCACGAAGGTCACTGCTTCTGCAACATCCACTTCTCCTTATCTCCGCGTCAGGTTGCTTTATGGAAGTCCTAGCATAGGGATCACACTTAGGCCTGGTTTCGTGTCGTCCAATATCGGGGTTGGGTCAGACTATGAATAGTAAGACTTATCGTTGTGTTCTTTGCTACCAGTTAGGTGTTCCCTTGTTATCCGTTTTGACACCGTGTTCTGCTTGCTCAAGGATTTTTTATGGGGATATTTTTGGAGATCATGCAGTGTCTTGTGCTGGGATGGTGGGAATAATAATAATAATAATAATAATAATAATAATAATAATAATAATAATAATAATAATAATAATAATAAATAATAATAATAAATAAATAAATAAATAAATAAATAATAGTAGGCATGTGTTTTCCCAAAAGGTGCATACATTTTCACATTTTCCCTCACATGACACAATTTACAACTCGAATAATAAAGTCATTAAAGGTCCGAAACTATAGCCTAGCTTTTTAAAATATCAACTTTTAATCATATAGTACTTTTTTTTTAATGAAAAGATAATTAAAACTAGCTACACCATTTCCATTAAGAAGTATTCAGTTGCCAACTACAGATTCTATTCACTATGATGATACACCATTTCCAGCCTATAAAACATGAGAGGAAAGCTAAACTCCAAGATCTTCTATGTAGCGATTAATTACACTATGGTTGTCTATTTTGTAGAGGATTCTTCCCAATTCCTCTGCTTCGTACTCCGTATGATTTTGTAATTAGAGCTTTTTAGTTGAAAACACTCAATTTCCCAATTACACTATTACCTATGTCATCCGCTCTTTTAATATTGTATCTATGTTTTACATTATTCACAAATGCTTTCCTTTTTTTCCTTCGCTTATCTATTGTGACTTATATGTAATTAATAATATAGTTTGGTTTATAATCGTCTTGATTTTATACTTTCAATATATAAATTTATAATATATATATAAAAGGAAATATGAATGATGATCAAATATGGAACAGATCTAAACAAAAAAAAAAAAGAAAAATTAATTAGCCCTTTGATATGTACTTCTTCATTTCATGATAGATTATCTATGTGTTCAACATGGCGCAATACACCCAACCTTTCTTATCTAATTTTAAATTAGAAATAAATGGGCTGTTATATCAAGTCAATTTTTGCCAACTTTAGCATTAATTAATTATTCCTCTTAATTTCCTCAAAAAAATAAAATATTCCTCTTATTCAAACATAAAAACTCTAACATAATTTTTTATTTCTCTTTTTAAAGTTCAAAATTCTCACTTATTTTTGTTAAAATATTCCCTTTTTTTTTTTGTGGTGATAAACCAAACTAAATTGACCAAATTTATCTATGTTCAATGATTATCATTCACGATTCACCACATTATTTAGCATCTAGCTTATTCGCATATAATGTCCACTTCTTAAATTCTATCACCACTGCCACATTACCGCAACCATCTCTATCATGAGTTTGATCATGACCCACAATTCACCCATTTTACTTTTAGTATTAGAACAACAATTTATAATGCTACTTTATAATGTTTTTATTACTTTATTAAAGTAAAGTTACTTTTTTGTCTTTTGAAAATAAAGTCTTTAATTTATAGTTCAAATCATCTTCAAATATAATCTTAATAATTCATATTCTTCGATCACAAATTGTCGTTGTAATGTTGGAATATTTGCTTCAAATTGTTAATGGTTAGTTAACTCCTAATATATAGGAATATGCTCTACTAAGTATTAGTTTGTGTTAGTGGAGTCATAATAGTAGTGGGTTAGTTTAGTGGGTTAATGTTAGCATGATCAATGATCACGGGATCATGTTTCTTAATTATAACTTAGTTATTTTGCACTATATATATGTTGCTATGTAGTATGTTTTTCAATGGATTGAATATAACTTTTATTATTCTCTCCCTTCTCTCATCTCTATTTATTATTTCAACATGGTATCAGAGCTTCAGGTTAGATCTTGGGAAAAGGCAAAAGGAGAAGGGAAAAAGATGTTTCCAAAAAAAAAAAAAAAGGAGGACAAAAACTTTTTGTGAGTGTTTTTTGTGCTTGGCCATGGAAGTAATGGTTGGTTTAATGTGTTCATGGGTTCTCTTTTAGCCCATGAAAATGGGTTTAATAATCCTGTGAGAAAAAGGGCAAAAAATTGTTTTAATGTAAAGATCGCATAATCTTTACGAGTGTGAAAGTCGTAATCAACGCATAGACGGTTTCTAAGATAATACCAAAGATTTTTGGTATGATGCAAGGTGACATGGTCAATTGGAGGACAATGCCAAAGAGAGTTAATGGAGAAATGTGCTCCATTGAATGTAAGTTGGTGAAATTATTCATCAACAAGATCGAGTAATTGATGAGAAGTGCATCAATAAAAAAATGTCGAGTTTTGGTTGTGCGGAGATAAGTGCTCCGAGAATATCATGTTGGTGATAATGTGTACCAGCAAAATTGTGTG